TGTAAAGTGAGAATAATTATTTTGAATGCGATATTGGAAATAATAATAAAATACAAATTTCTGGATCTAAATTATAGACTCGGCACCTGTCTTATTAGGATATATATCATGGAAAATTAAACAGAATTCTGTGGAAATAGAGAAAAATCTAGTGATAAAGTGAAAAATGTTAGAAAATATTCCAAAAAATTAGGAAAATATTTTAAAATCATTTCAATAGTGATACAGGAATACTGGATGGGATATCAAATATCAGTGTCAATACATAAAAGTTTATTCATAACTCTTGTTTTTGATTTTCACTATGCATAAACACTTTGTACAAGGCTCATGTCAATAAATTTTGAACAAGTGTCTAAATGAAGGAATGCACACATTTGTTCTGGTAATTATTAATCCTGGAAACTTTTGGAAATTATTAAATAATTAAGATTTTCAAAAGAGTAAAAACAAATATTTTTATAATCTCCCATTAGAAAAAGCCAACGAGATAAAAGAGGTCTTTTCAACAATATAGAGGAAATCTCAGAACGCATAGTATTTGGCTATTAAAACACTAAGAGGAAATGTAGTGCATTATATGACATGCAATAGAATACCCTCCAAGAAAAAAAAAACACACACATTCTTGTTTTAGATTGCTTACTCCTAATTTTCGAAACAACAGTGAATAAAAATCTCTCTTTTTCCTTTAAATTTTGTGTTCCTTTGGCAGTTGTATGGTCAATTAATTCAAGGAATACATTCATTGTAATGAAAAAAAGATTGTAATTACAATGTTTTTTTCCTTTTTCTTGTTATAGGATTCTCAAATGAAAAACATTGGGAGATGATTTTTTGTTTAAATCTGCAGTTTTTAACAAATATTAGAACATTAAATAAATTTGCATCTTGTGGTCATACTCTAGCTTTATTCTTACCATATATACTAATTTAAACAGTATGCATGTTCTGTTATTTAACAAAGATTAGAATTAAAGCCTGAATGTCACTTGTATAACTTTTGAAAGACCTATCTCAGTAACACTACAACAGTAACAATTGAACAGGTGAAGTGATAGGACAACATCCAGGTAGACTCTAAATGCATGAGTGATCATTTATTCAGATATAAATAGATTGAAACTTGTGATTTAATTAAGACTTGAAGCTCTTTATAATTTGTAACCCAAAACAAAAAACATATGTTCCTTGAATAATTGCAATTACTAATTCTTTCAAAGATGTATAAAATAACTTATACAAGTAATTTTTGTGTCATTATTTTTAAAGTAATCTTTTTTTTTTTTCTCTCTATACTCCTCTCAAATTTAATACATCCTTAATTTTAAGTAATAAAATGATGTTAAAATTCATAAAAACTACATTTAGACCATGCTTCTATTGAAATTTAAAATACCTCTATTGAGTTAATTTAATAATGTAAACAAAAATTGCCTTTATAAGTAACTAAAAAAAAATGTTTTTAACAGTCTTGAATGTATCGGTGGTATTTTTATTTAAAACTGAATTTCTAGATGCGACCTTCATACATTTAAACATTGGAAACATTTGCATATAAAACAATCACACATGCATAATATCCAGTACATAATCTATATGTTACATTAAATGTTGGAACGACATCTGTTGTAAAACAGTTATAATTTAGCATTTAAAGTCTGTATGTAAACTTGGATACTATTTGGTTACTGATTTCCAAATGCAAGTAAAGTATCATTCGATAAAGGTTAACACACCATTGTGCGGCATATTTGTACATTTGAATTACACGAGGCAATATCTACTTAAACTCAATTATCTTAGACATATTTGAGTATATTTATTCTGTTGATAATATACGGAGTTATTTTTTTTAAAATCACATGGACCTTGCATTCAGTATTTGTGACAACTATCCACCAGAAACAAAAGGATTTTAAGGTTAGCGTACAGCCTTCAACAATGACCAAAAAAATCTATACCGTATTGTAAGATATCAAAAGGTCCAGCATGACAAAATGCGAAACAAATCAAACGATATGGCAAACAACTACAAAAGACGGCCACTGATTCATATGATCCTGGCTAGGGATAGATACATTAGGAATTTGACGGAGCTACACCTGCTTGAGAACTCTATCGTTTCTTGGAACACTTTTGTTACAGTACAACTTAAGAAGAAAACTTTACCAATTAGTTGGAAAAAGCTTTATTACCAGATCGCTTGCATCTGGTTTCGCTTCCTTTGAAGTGTATGTGATTCCCTCATTTTTTTGTTTTTTTTCCTTGATTTGTCTATTTGTCTATTCTTGTTGCACCACTGTCCCAGGTTAGGAAGAGGATTGAGCGCTCACAAACATGTTTAACCCCGCCACATTCTTTATGTGCCTGTCCAAAGTCAGGAGCCTGTAGTTCAGTGGTTGTCGTTTGTTCATGGCTGTCTTTTTTATAAATTAGGCCGTTAGTTTTCTCAATTGAATTGTTTCATAATTTTCATGTCGGGGCCTTTTATAGCCGACTATACGGTAAGGGTTTTTCTCATTGGTGAAGGCCGTACGGTTGCCTATAACTGCTTTAATCCACTTCATTTGAATTTTGGCGGATAGTTGTCTCAATGGCAATCATACCACATCTCCTTATTATTATATTAATCGATTTGAAAGATTTGAAAATTGGTAAACTACTTTCGATTTAAGTTTCCACATTTTCCACATTCAGTACATATATATCGGAATTATTGTAAAGATTTCATACACAGGGTTTTCGATATCACAAACTAGTCAAAACATTTACTAAATTTTATCATCGGTATAAGGACATCATTCGTAAATATAGCTCAACATGCAGACTTCTTATACGTTCAGGTATTTCACATCCAATTTTTTATGGAAATATTCTTTATAAAGCACAAAAATGTCAGTTTTCACCTCTGAAGCTAACACAACCTTTAAATAGACTTATTAAGAAGGGATATAGTTACGATACTGTTGTCAGGTCATTAAAGATTGCATATTTTGGCGTTAATATTGATTCACTTATAGGGTCTTTGCATCGGCACTAAACACATTTATTTAAAAACCAGTTGTTGGCATGACACGGGTTATGTTCTTCTCATATATGTTATGATGGTATGATACTAAACCCCTAACGGGAAGGATTGTGCCTGATATTCATATGATGAAGACATAATCTTTCAATCAGTTTAATTGAAGTCTGGAGCTGGCATGTCAGTTAACTGCTAGTAGTATGTTGTTATTTATGTATTATTGTCATTTTGTTTATTTTCTTTGGTTACATCTTCTGACATCAGACTCGGACTTCTCTTGAACTGAATTTTAATGTGCGTATTGTTATGCGTTTACTTTTCTACATTGGCTAGAGGTATAGGGGGAGGGTTGAGATCTCATAAACATGTTTAACCCCGCCGCATGTTTGCGCCTGTCCCAAGTCAGGAGCCTCTGGCCTTTGTTAGTCTTGTATTATTTTTAATTTTAGTTTCTTGTGTACAATTTGGAGTTTAGTATGGCGTTCATTATCACTGAACTGGTATATATATTTGTTTAGGGGCCAGCTGAAGGACGCCTCCGGGTGCGGGAATTTCTCGCTGCATTGAAGACCTGTTGGTGATCTTCTGCTGTTGTCTGTTCTATGGTCGGGTTGTTGTCTCTTTGACACATTCCCCATTTCCATTCTCAATTTTACAGCAAGCAAAAAGCATAGCCTTGTCCTACTCAGACGTCATTTGGTCTCTAGTGGATAGTTGGCAATCATATCACATCTCCTGATTTCTATACAAAACATAGCAAAATGCGTGACGTCAACAATATGGGATTTTCATATGAAAATTAACAATACAGGAATATTTAGTAACCATTTATCAAATGTAGAAAACACAATTATGTTCAATATTTTCTTTTTTATTTGAGTCAAAAGAGGTGCACCTAGATTTATAATCAGCTAAAGGCACCCTTCATGTTGCTCATGACACGGCAATGTCCGGTGACACTAGCAAGTTCAATTCAGCGATGTCAATATCGAGGAAAATAGAAAAGTACTGTAACTATGACAAGTGGAACAAAAACATAATAAATAAAATGACAACTCAGAAAGTGCCCTTAATATATAGTTGACAGTTTGAAAATACAACTGCATAAACCATACCATCACGAGTCTAGAAAATTTTGAAAAGATTCAATAGACTTCCAATACTTTGCATCAACACCTAAATATGCGACGGTAATATTCCATAAAGATATAAACAAAGACATCCAAAGTCGAGTTTCTTGATTATAGAGGGTAATCTTGTTTGCTTAGCTTCATTCAGGATTTCAATTGTATTTAATGATAATGTACCTAATTGTGTTTGCCGGAAATATAGTATATAAACTTATATTTGTGAATCACGGAAATTATTTCCTTTTATCATGATATTTTATCATTTAAATGCTGATCATGATAATATATGTTTTTGTTTGGATTTTAGGTTTTGTTCTGACTGATAAATGTTTTAATAATTCAAGGTAATCTTCATATCTTCTTATGAAAAAAAAACAATAAGTATAAGTAGTAGGCTTTCCAATGAGATAAAATCGTTGTTACAAATTGTAAAATTCATATGTTGAGACAATGCAAATTAGTAATTACAGTTGATAAAGATGAAATCAAATTGTTGTCTACATGTCAACTTGTTAAGTGACGAACAAATTAAGCAATAGTGTAACTTTAAAAGTGGTAAACTATACATTTAGTTAAAAGTTGCAGTCGACAAAGCCGCAAGAGAAATCAATTCACATTCATTGCAGCAACCAAGCATGATGACACAGAGCAATGTCAAGGTCTGGTTACTTGTAGTTATCTTTCATCTATTTACATCAACGCTGAACTTATGGGATATAAACAACAACACGCTCAATTTAGATGAATTTTATAGAAATGAGCAATTTGATTGGTAATGAATGATTTTCCTGTTTGATTCGTTTGAAACATTGATATACGTTTTGTTTTTGTACAGAAAAGGTGCAAGGGATTCATGGTTTTGTTGTAATAATCACGAAAATAAGAATGGCGAATGCATAGGTATGTTTTATTTCAGTTGATATTAAGTGAGAAAAGTATCTTTGATGAGTTGATATTGCTTACCTGATTACAACAAAAAAACAATATGGACCGGCTTACAATTCATATTAGTTGTAATAAACAAATACTTTATATTTTAATCAAAGGCATTTACTTAATTATATAATTTGTAAGGGCCTAGTCTGTTACAGAGTTGAATGCCCTTTGGAAAAAATATATTTGAACCTCGCTCTCCAAATTAAAGAGGGCGTCGGTTTGCAAAGTGGTCTTGTTAGTTCATCTACAGCAATAACTAGCTGTTAAACATGTTCTTCGTTTTGGAACTTTGTTTGTTTTTATCGTTTCATTATCTTTAATTAGAAAAATAAACGCTTGATTCATGTACAAAACAATAAACGAAAAACAAATATGATATACAACAACAAACGACAACTATTGATATATAGGCTCCTGTCTTGGGACAGGCGCATAGATAATAGTGCGGTGTGAAACATGCTTGCTGCCAACGCATCCTCCACCAACTTGGGACATTTGTTTAACAGCAGAATATAAGAAGAAACCACAAAAATCAATTGAAAAAGACTTGACTCATCAGATCGACACAAAACACTTGAAAAACTAACAAAAGGACACAAAGTACAGATCTCAGTTATTAAAAGCTAGTTCAAGCCAAATAACATCTAATAAAAAAGTCATGTGTGTAAGACTAAATTATCATTTAGTGCTCATATAATGAATTTATTGTTTAGACGTAATAAAATGTCATACAAAAGCATGATTTTTCGCAACGCCAAAATAAAGTTATCGACAGAATGTACTTTAGTAAATGTTTTTATCTGAATAGCAATAATAATTAGATAAGTTTTAAGTAGTTGGTTTGTGCTTAAAGCCAATCTGATCAGTCGAGCCCTAACTCATAGATTTATACACTTTGTTCTTATGATGTGATTTTACACCACTCTCAAGGCTAGAGTTGGAGTAAGAACTTACAAACAAGCGTTAGCCTGACATATTCTGCATATGCTTATTTAAAGCCAAGAGCGTAAACTCAGTAGTTTTCGGTAATTGCAATATTTGTTTCGTGAATTCTACTTCTAAAAAGATGCCGGGTTTGTATACAATTTCATCCTGGGTTCTGTATAGCTTACTATACAGTATGTATTTTCTCATTGTTAAATTCATATGAAACTCAAATTTAAATAAAGGTCGAATATGTTCTGTATCATTGGATGGCTAATGTTTTCCATGAAACAAGTGTAGGAGAAAATCCTTTAATTTAAATTATCAAAATCTATATAAAGGTACTGCTATTAAATTATTGTCTTCCCGTACACCAGTTCACCGATATTTTACCGTATTCAGTAACATTAACCACGATACCTCTTGTTAGAACTTCGGTCACCGTACAGCGCAAGTACTAGGGTAAAAACCATAATGAAGAATGTAAACAAACTTACACTGGAAGATTAATAGTAATAACTGATTCTTAAAGAACACATTTAATACAACAAATCATTTAACAACTATAATGGAAAAGTTTAATTAACGAATGGGAACGCACGGAAAATAAAAATAATAACACACTTTCATGACTCTGTCAATTCAATTATTTGACACGTGCCCCAAGAGCTCTGTGTTGATTGTTTAATGTTAATTGTTGAATGTTGAATGAAATATTACTTGTCGATAATACGTTGTAGATCGGTAATAAATATTAAACAGAAAACGTTGCATATGACTTTTAAGAAGTACGATGACCTTTTAATGTCTTCATTTTTGTCCGTTGACGATAATGGATATTTGTCGCATTGACATTCACACCATATGTCGTTTGTGCATGCATTTTTTAATTACTTCCATCATATTTGTTTATAATAATGAGTTCGCATTTGCTTTAATTTCAAAACGATACATTTCATATAGAATGTGAAATTGGGTATGTTTCAAAGAATGGATTTCCATGCAAACCATGTTCACTTGGACTGTGGGGAAGAAAATGCGGAGAAGTTTGTAGCTGCCAGCATAACGAGAGGTAAAAGACGCCTCGCCTTTAAAAATAACGTAACATATAACTATTTGTACCATTTTATTAAACTTTTAAAGGATGGTGTGTATGAGTAAACGTTTTCAAAGCTAAATTACCATTGAACATTATAGCCATTGTTTTTCTTGTTTTTTCAGTTAGTTTAATTTCTTCCAAACAATACACATTTGGGGAAAGGTAACTTTTACAAGAATCAGGACGTTTGTTTACAAATTGCTTTTACAGAACATTAAATTTGATAAATATATTACTAAATTTTCTTTACACTCTTGTGATGATTTATATTATAGAAAGGCGGAATAAACCAAACGAATATTCAAACTCATAAGTCGAAAAAGAACTGAAAATGCAATGGAAAAAACGAAAAAGACCTAAAGACCAACAATAGTCTGTAAAACATGGAAAATCCCACATGACAGCCATCAAGTCCTATCAACATACCTGAATAAATAGTTTGTCTTTCAAACCTGTTCATAGCAGCACATTGACTGCCTCTAACTAGAGAGAGGTCGAGTGAAGTTTGCTTTTATGTCAAAACAATATTCCATGTCAATTTAAACATCTTTAATTATGAAATATGCGACCATAACAATTGCATATTTCTACCTCTTTATAGTGTGTCCATTGTGTTGTTAGGTTGCTGTCTCATTGACGTATACCATTCTTTTTTCTTGTATGTTTACATTTTACAGATGTGATATGGTGTATGGGTGTATTGCGTTGACAACTGACAAGTCAGGTAAAACTAAATTTCGTCAAAGCCCTGATAAGGTTTGAAGTAAAGCAACACGGACAAAGACGTAGATATATTTAAAGAATAATATAACTACAATTACAGTAAATTGATAGATAATAAGATAGAGGACATTGTTTTTTGTTTGATGTAATTGCCACTTTGCTTACATGAATAGGATTGACTACAATTTCAAGTACAAGGACGGAAGTAGGACTAATCGTTAATATCAATGCCGTACCATGATGTGAACCAAATAACAATACGAATCATGATAACTTAAATATTTACAAATGGATGTTTCCGGTGACACTTTGTTATTGTGACAATATACCAAACATCCTAATATGTATAAAGTCTAACTTAATTTTTTTTTATCTTGACAATATTATCAATTTGAGATAGTAATATACTGTGGATTCATTAGAATTTGTGGGATACCAATTTTCGTGGATTTCGTTGGTACAGGTAAACCACAAATTTAAATGTTCAACGAAGTACAAATTGTCTATAGGAAAAATCCATGAAAGTACAATGATTCCTTAATCCACGAAAATTGGTTCCCCACGAAAATAAATGAATCACCGTAGTTAATTTTTGGAATTACTGAAATAATAAGGATTTTCTAACCAAGGAATATATTACCTTGGGCGTATTTGGCAAAATGTTTAGGAATTTTGGATCCTCATTGGTCTTCAACTTCGTAATTCGTTTGGCCTTTTTCATTTTTTTTTATACGAGCGTCACTGATGAGTATTTTGTACACGAAAGTCTGAAGTACAAATTTCAATTCTGATATATATGATGAGTTTAATTAGAGAATACAAATGTTTACCCTTAATCTATTGTCTGAGCTGTCGTAATTTTTAAAACGAGTATATCTGAAATTTTTAGAAGAAATGGTCGATGGTATAATATATTCAATCATTATAATTTGCATTTGATAAGAACGTATTGTAAAATTAATTAACTCTATTCTTTCCTCAGTATCAAATAACATGATAAGGAATCGTCTTCTTTTTTTTATAATTTCAATTGGGAAGAAAAAATCGTTAATCGCCGATTTATATGTTTGATAATATGTATCTGTATGAACAGATGAACGCATTTAAATGAAAAAAATCGATGAAGCGTGAACACAACTAAAAAAGCAACTTTTAGTATGTACTAAAAACAACCGTGAACAATTAAGACATGCTACCATATGTCATGGTTTATATAAATATCAGGTGTTTTGTGTGGTTTTTTTTTATAGCGAATGAGACAATTATCCACCGGAGGTGGAAGTAGGTGAACGTAAGCATCTATGGATCACTAAACGCCCTTCAGCAAATAGCAAAACATATTCCGTAGAGCTAGATACAAATTACGCAAACATGAACTAGCTATTTTCGAGTGTAAACAAGTTAAGAATTAGTTTAATAGAAATGATCAAACTCCTAATTGCTTTAGAAAAAATAAATGTTTTCAGTGAAGAGCCTCATTAGAACGATAAAAATGAACAATTAAGACCATGCATATAACAATTATTAAAAAGGAATTGGTATTAGGGTTTGTGAGGGGAGTGTGTATGTAAGTTAGAAGATTTGGTATGCATGCCAATGAGACAACAATCAACCAGAGACCAAATTACTAACAGGTAAACAGCTACATGTAATCGTACCACCCTTAGCGATGTGAACTTTCATATAATGTAGGAAGCTGTGAAATATTACGACGTGCGAAAATGTATATCAATTCAAACGAGAAAACCAACGGGCTGATTTATGTACAAAACAATGAACAAGAAACATCTGTTCATACACTGTATTTGTTGAGTTGTTCTGTGTTTGTTTGTTTTGGCATATTTGATTTTTCTGTCCTTCCGGATGAATATCCATACCAACTCATTGCCAAACTTTGTACAGTCTTTTGGAACATTTTGCTTACAATGTTTGTCAAAAACAGAAAAAAAAGGGAAACAACACGTAATAAATTCAATGCGTCCGAATCCCATTTCTGAATTTACATTTATTAGGAACGATCAAAGACGAATATGTAAAAGCCAAGGATGTATAAGAACCGAATCAGTTGAAGAGCTAAATGTTCAAAAAGGACATATATGAAATAGTTAAATCAATCTAAGGTCAACTTTACCAGACGGAGTTGAAACCTTAGCTACATTATAATTTATAAACGGAAAATTTTAGAAAGGTTCTTATAAATCATATCAACTTCGTATTTGATTATTCATAGATCTATCGTTTAAGAAGACGGATCACATGTCTGACTACTTAATTATAAGCATGATGTCTTAATACGTTTCGTCAAGTGACCTCATAAATAAGCAAGCATTGTACAAACTATTTGTGTAAAAAATATTATATGAAACATGTATTTAAACATACAAAATAACAATCATTCTTTCTGACAACTGAATTGGGGAAAATGTATGTTTCAGAAAAGTGGGAAAGTACCTTTATAGAACCAATGGATAGTTTTTCAGCAGCTGATAAAAATGGTATTTACACTTTTGGTTGAAAATACATTTCGTTCACCCGTGATATGTATAATAATCATATTTTATTATACACTTTTTCTTAGAAATGGAAAAACAAATACAGTTAACATGTAAGTGTGTACAAAAAAAAATTATATGGTCATCGACATACGATGCATGTAAGAGGTTCATTAATATGTGTATTAGAAAAAAATGTACGTTTATCAAATTAATATAAAACTATTGAAATTTTTTGATAATAAATGGCACAATGCTTACGTTCTGAGTAGACTACTCTCTTTATACGTCTCACATTTGTTTGTTTTCTCAAAATTCATTTAAAAAAAAACACAAACAAATAAGACAAGCCAACAAAATCAAAATAGAAACAAACCAAAATTAAATCAAATAACATAATAAAGACCGCTTTAACATGCATAATTATGTCACGGAGACGTCAACATGGTCGTCAATGCGACAGTTATCCCAACATTCAATTGTACCTGTTATTTAGGCAAACGTTATGCTAGGACTGTCCTATTTTACTGTATGTTATGATATTTGAAATTGAAAAGTAGTCTGTGTGCATGTTTGAAAAAGGGAACAACTCTAGGCATTTATTCTTTTTCAAACATGTTTTATTATTATTTTAATATTTGAAATTTGTTTTTTAATGTTCTGATCTGTCGTCATTTTGTGGTGGCTACCTATCAATACGAAAGTAAAAAGGCCATTTATCTCTGTTTATCAGATTTCACTTTTAATCTAGGAAAACATCTGATGAATGCTTGTACTTAAAGCACCCGAAGGTCCGACTACGGTTAAACAAACTGGTACGCTGGACTTGTCCTATGCGGCGGTAAAACTCAATATCCTAAATTGAGGTAAATTGTTGGGCTTTCAAAATACCGTTTCAATTCCTAACATCACTGAAGAGACATTATTTGTCGAAATCCGGATATGGTGTACAAAAACCTTTGCACCTTTTGTTTGCGGTATATCATCTTTTCCGCAAGTTTATTGTTTTCTGTTTAGTATTAAATTTAAAATTAAGATCCATTTATTACATCGGTGATCCGTTTATTTGGCAATCGTCAATGGCAGTCAGCAGGGTTAAAGAACATTTGTTGTTCGACCTGTTAGTCAAATGCGTTTTGTTAAAATATACTTTTTCACTTTTTTTGTTTTTTGGAAAATGTTGTTTGTGCTGTATTTAGACCCCTCTAACAAGAAATTTGTTTTGCATGCACACGTATAAACATTTCGGTTTTTATCCAACGCAATCATAGGTTTGAACGATGTTTTCAATTTAGACTTGTTTATATATATATATATTTATGTCCGTCTGACTAAACAAGATAAGTCGTTAAATCCTAAGTCTCGTGTATAGGGATTAATACGCTTTTTGCATGTTTAAAGCCATGTAAGTGTCAATTCCTATTCTAATTAAGTTCCCTGTCGTCGCACCTGACTTCACTCCTGTTTTTTTAGGGTTCGTATTGTTCAATCTTTAGTTGTCTATGTATTATTTTCAGCATTTCTATTTTTAGTCATGGTTATGTTTGATTTATAAAAATCATGATTTTCGAATAAATCCTCTCTTTAAAATAAATTCTACTACTAACACTCTTTAAATTCGATCATCCGAGGCAACTTTCTGCTTAAACCTTCAATAGGAACCTTCAACCCTAAACATATGACATCCAAGGATAAAATATAATTTAATTTATGTGTTTGAGGGTTTCATCTAAATAACATAATAATAGTGAAGTCATTTATAGCTAATCGTTGAAAGATTCGAGATGTTGGAAGGTTAGCTTTTCCTTTGTTTGGTGTCTGCATATAACTATTTGTGAAATATTCAGACCCAATGCAAAGTTTGGTGATCTGTTAAAGAGGTAATTATGACACAAACTAGTCACCCTCGATAGCATTCAATAACAAAAAAAGGACTGAGTTTCACACTTTGAATAAATGAGAAAGAAATAAAATCTGTCCAAACTAGAGGTGCAGACCAAGAGTATATGTACAAAGGTTGAATAGTATTGAATGAAAAACTGTTGAAGTTACAGATGACACAAACTAGGCATCTGCATCGCTTTTTTACTGTCATAAAGCAAAGACTAAAACATTTACCTTCGTATGAATTACTTTATCTATTGTGTTAACAAAATCCATAAATGCTCACGGAAGAAATTCAACCCACTATATTTGTTTTTCTGTACATTACTATTTTTTTTTTAGATGGAATATATCTGAACAGAGAAATTGTTATTTATGCATTAAGTGTAGGAAGCATTGCAGTAGTGGTTGCTCTAGCTTCATGTTGTTTCAAAAGCAAAAGGAAAAGCTGATTTTTTTTTCCTATCCGGATAACAAAGAACACACCATATTCAAGTTTCTTCTAATCGGACAAATGTTCAATTTAACAATAAACTTAGTACTTTTAAGTGCCATAAGGCCAAAACATGATAGTCTCAGATTTTGATGAAAACTTGCATAAATCATCTGAATAACATGTTAAAAAGAAAAAAATACTTTTCAGACCAATTATATATGGTTGCTATGAAAACAGGGTCATTTGATTTTTCCAAAGCAACAAGTAATGGAGATAAACTCATCATAGATACCAGGATTAAATGGAGGTTAACATGAAAACCCCAGTTTTTCACTATTTCAGTCTCATGAAATATGCTGTTTATATAAAATGAAGCGTTTCTCCATTGTACTGCAACTTTTTTAACTATCAAATATTCTTGAAGAATAGCTGTTATGATGAAATTCTATTTCATTCTAGAAATTTTGGTGTACGAACGGTCTCCAGTGACCATAATGTCCCAAAAACGGCAAAAAAGGCCTGAAATCAAGTTCAAATATTTTCTATTACCAGAACAGCACATACATGGTGTTACTTAATATAGAATAAGTAGTGGTCATACCTTCATTATTTTATAAAAGGTCGTTGGGATTTTTCCAAATAATGAGTAACCATAGCAACAAAGTTAACCCAATAGCAACAAAGCTAAAAAATAAATTTGTACATATTTATTCAATATTAAAGTCTAGATGCATATATATGGAGTAATTATGATTCATTTAAGCTAGTCACATTAAAGTGTTGTCATCAGTTTTTATCTAGCGCCGTAACACAGTACATGATATATATGGCATGCAGATGGAAATTTTACAGATCAGCTGAATTATCTATTGCAAAGGATCCTACAAATTAATGTAAGATGCAGTCACAGAAATAATTATATTATAAGTACGTCTGAACCAGTGACGACTCCACAACATATCTTATCCATCGGATCACCAGCAGTGATAGTGATACAAGACTGAAAATACATTCTGCATGTTCTGTATATATAATTCGTCTAAACATCAACCAAACAATGTTAGATCTGTAAATTTGCTTTCGCAAATTTTTCGTTCTTCCCTCGCCGGGATTTGAACTCATGCTACTGAGATATCGTGGCACCAAATCGCCTTGCCCTATGCCTGACGCGCTAGACCACTCGACCACCTAGGCTCTACAATAATAAAGCTTTCGGTGGCCGGGTGATACCTTTCCTCGTCAGTTTTAATCTAGCGTCGTAATACAGTACATGATATATGTGGCATGAAGATGGATATTTTACGGATCAGCTGAATTATCAAATCAATGTAAGCTGCAGTCACAGAAATAATTATATTATAAGTACGTCTGAACCAGTGACGACTCTACAACAGATTTTATTCATCGAATCACCAGCAGTGATGGTGATACAAGGCTGAAAATACATTCTGTATATGTAATTCGTCTAAACATCAACCCAACAATGTTAGATCTTTAAATTTCCTTTCGCAATTTTTTTTGGTTTAGCTATCAGAACGTACCCAACGTATGCATAAATTTTCGCGATTTTCTTTTATCCGCCAAAATAAGGGAAAATAAACATCCCCCGCGAAAATAACCCGCTATACGGTATCTGAATGTGACATGAAATGATCTGGCTTCTTTGGTCTTCTTGTGTTTGACAAATATCTGAAGGAACTCCGACTCATTTGAAAATAAGAAGAGGTTGTTAAGGAGAGGCGCACAGTTTGTTCCCATTGGAATGCCAACAATTTGTTGAAAAAGTCTACTGTAAAATTCAACACATATGTTGTCAATAAGAAACTCCAGTATACTGGATGTATAGCGTATGCCACCATTTTTATATTGAAAAGCAATGTGGATTATTTTTTTGTAGACGATTTTTCAATTTCGTATGGGGAATGGTGGTATACAGGGTTGAAAAATCAAAAGTTTTGATAGAATTAATTTCAGAGAAAGATCGAGATTTTAAATTATCAAGAAGTTCTTGAGATTTTTTAGAATCCACATATGGTTAATACCATTACGCGAGTGAACAGTTTCACAATATTTCTGAAGACCCTCTTTCACTTCGGACAGCTTTTTTGTCAATCTAATGGACAATTCATTTGTAGAACATGCATATGAGCCGGCAGTGTACCGTTGTTTGTACGGAATTTTGTGAAGCTTAGGTTTTAAATACAAACAAGGCAAGTCATCAGATTTGCTGATCAATCAAATGCTCATTGAAGCCATAAAGGATTTATAATTCGCCAAAATCTCATCCTTGTCAAACGATATGTTTTTATATTTGGATTACCTGAGTGCTCATTTATTCCTTATTCTTTTACAAGACACTCGTAGTAGTACGATGTACATATCAAGACAATATTATTTGAAGCTTTGTCCGCAGAAACAACAACATAATTATCGTGCAGAGATGGTAGACATTTCACAGCTTCTTTGTCTCTGAAAACCGACGTTGGTCTATCATTCACACAGTTTTTAAACTTATGAGTTCGACGTTTTATTAGAGACCTGATTGTTTTGACCCATCCTGACAAAGTGTCCAGTTCAACTTCTTCTCGTTTAGACAATGCTCTAGCGTCGTCCTCAACGGAATCCATAATTATTTTAAAGTTATGTTTCCAATTGATGTGTGGAGTTATCTGAACTT